CCAAACGCCTTCCAACCTCCATCAAACATGAAGCTGCTGCTGACTGTCTGTCTGACCTGGGCTCTTCTCTACACAGGTAATTTACTTTATCTGGGAATCGGATTTGTCTGACACCTATTTCTTTCTAACACGGAAAAGTATTGCATAGTTTTTTCATATTTATATTCCACATTTTTGGAATATGAGATTTTACACAAAACAGGAGCCTTGTGTGGCTCTCTATCCTGCAGCTTTTTATATCTGCATCCTGTATTAGCAAGTAAAGCTCACTGTTTTCTACATCTAAGAAATAGACCTACATATCAACTGCAAAGCACTTTTGACTTTTACTACATGCAGTTCTGATATGTGTATGATTAAAGGCTCAGTCTGCAGTTCAGAGATGAAGCTATTAATCAATTAATCAATTGAATCAAAATGAATCAACTTTGATCATAAATTAATCATTTAGGCCATTGTTTAACCAAAAAGGCAAATAATTAGTAATTCTTCTTTATTCATTGTGAAATTTTGTTGCTTTTCTCTGTTTTATATCATTGTAAATTGAATATTGTTGTGTTTTGGGTGGTTTGGTGGTTTAAACAAGCCAATAGAATATGTCACATTTGGCTGTGTCAACATGTACTTGCCATTTTTCAGATTCTTTTTATTTTATTTTAGACTATAGATCAATCATTTTGGAAAATATCAATTATCAGCTCTACTGCTATTGTTTGGTCACAACAATTTGAAGCATGTTTGAACACACATCTGAAGAGTTTAGATTATTAATGAAAAATTGACATTTTTGATACAGGACTATTTCAAATGTGGACAATTGTGGTTGTTCTATTGCACAAGTTTTATATTGCATGGACCAGGAGGGTCTGTTATATTTCCTGAGGTGTAGATAAAATACAATGACAACTCAAACTCTATTTATGTACATGACATATCTTGGTGAAAAACTATAAAATATTTAAATCTGGTTTACCACACAGTTGGTAGCCTTCAGTCAAAGAGAAAAATGAATCATCTTGATGCTCTGATCTCTCCATTGTGCATTACATATACGGTAGGGTAGGAGCTGAAGCTTATTCTAGCTATGTGTCTGTCTTGAGATGAAACAGAAATGAATTGAACACTGTAAATTATTTTATTGACTTTTCAGCTGAGTCGCTACGATGCCATACATGCACCAACAACATGTGTACCACATCAACCTCAGTCCAGTGTCCTGCCACAAGTACAGCATGCAGGACTGTCACTTCAGGTGGGTGGCAGTGATTTACTATACTGAAAATCCAGTGCTTTTACATTAACAATGATAATGAAGTATCAGTTAAACTGAATCAACAGTTCCATCCTGTTATCAAGAGATAAAGTTGACTTTTGTTACAAGATACAGAGTGAGTGAATCATTTAACAATCCCTTTTTCCTTCCTTCTCTCATTCCCCTTGTTTGTTTGTTTTTTTGTGCCAGTGATGGGGACAGATTCATCGACTACTGTGACAGTGAATAAAACCTGTTCAACACTGCTGTCCTGCATCACTCCTGTCAACTTTGCGACTGAATGGTCTGTAAATCGAGGTTTCAGACGAGAAGCCCACAATCAGCTTTGCTGCGTTACTGACAACTGCAACCTCCAGACACTGGCCAGTAAGACCTAATATTCTTTCTCTCTGAGTCTCATAGAAGATTGACACCAATATTATATTTGTATAATGAAAATGGAGCTGGTGTCACGATGTGGTTAGCCTAGCTTAGCATAAAGACTGTAAGGAGGAAGAAGTACCAGCTATCTCTCCAAAGCTGAAAAATACCTACCAACAAATCTAAAACGGTCTTATTTACTAAATATATCTTGTCTACCTTTTTGGTATGGGATATGTTTTTTTGTAACTTTAGACAGACTCTGTTCCCCCTTCTTCCAATCTTTATGCTAAGCTAGACTACTCAACTCCAGTGGTGTTTAACACACAGATGTGAGATTGATAGCTAACAGCCACTGTGACAAGGACAATTCAGTAAAGTCAGTTCAGCTTGAGGACTAGTGTTAAAGATTCATTCATACATGTAAAGACCTGCAGTTCAAACAAGCCTGCTTCTGTTTCTATTTCCTTCTCTTTTATGTTACCAGCTCCTAGTACTTTAACGAATGGGAAGGTGTGTCCTGCGTGTAGAAGCTCAGCTGCCAGTATGGCGGGGACCTGCAATACGACTTTGGCCTGTGTGGGAGCTGAGGACAGTTGCTTCAGTGGCAACAGTAAGTTCATGCAATAAATCGTTGACAAAATGTACTTGTCATTCTGCTTTTATATGTGTTTAATCCATTCCATCCTGTCTTGTGTTCTTCCTTTGCAGCTACATTAAGATGCACGGATGAGTTGCAGCTCGGCTGTTTAACCAGAAACCTCTGCAACAACCTACCTGTCCTGAACGCTTTGTTTGCTGATAACACCAAGATCACATGTGGAGCACCATGGAGCGTCAGGATGAGCACTGTGCTGCTGGGCTTTGCTCTTACAGCATTTAAAGTGCTTGTTTAGATAATAGATATGGTCAAACAGACATAAGGCATGTATTTTTATTGTATTTGTTTATTTGATAGGGACAATGCACGTCAATGAACATCAGTTTAAAATACAATATGTAAACATGCTGGATTGTAGCAAGAATGCTAATTTATATCTGTAGTCTCTACGCAGGTAACATAACACAAGAACATTACAAGTAACAATATATAAATACGAACATACAATAAACAAGTACAAAAGAAAAACACATTTTACAACATGTGCTAAAAGTGATCACAGATCTGGTTTGACGTAAGCCAATGACAAGACCACACACACACACACACACACACACACACACACACACACACACACACACACACACACACACACAGCTACTTATAATCATGCATAGAACTGCAAAAGTACTCCTCATTGCTTTTTTCAGGAAAATTTTCTGTCTGTAATGGTACATACACTTAACATACTAGATGAATTACATACTTTGCATAAGAGTTATGTATGTAGGAGTAATATATGAGAACAAATAAACACCCAAGTACACACAGATAAAATCATGCACGTTTGTGTACACACACAGATGTAATCTTACAGAGATAAGGTCACAGACATGAAGGCGCAATGTTATGCTTATTGAAAAGAACAATGTTGCAGGTTGGAGGACATACAAACACACGCACGCCCCCTTACCCTTGTTTTACTACATTCGTGGCGACTAGTCATTGACATAATGTATTCCTTAGCCCCTTACCCTAACTTTAACCATCACAACTAAAAGCCTAACCCTAATCTTAACCCAACTCTAACCCTAAAACCAAGTGGGTTCCAACATATCGATCCCCACACAGCTGTAGGACCCCACGAATATAGTGTACCCCTGGTCATATGACTGTGTAAGGCCTGAGGGATGTTTCAACACTCTGGGGTGTAGTGTGTAGTTTTCTTCTAAGTCCACCCTCATGTGCCATGCTTGTGCTAGCTGCAGGAGTTTCTTATTAGTCTTCTTGGAGGAGGGTGGCTTCTCCCCTACCCTGATGAACTGTTTGGACAGGGTTGGTCTCATTGATGTCATTTCGATGTGTTACTTTGAAGATTGAATGTTGATAATGGCTTGTTCATATTTGCCTATCAAGTGATTATTGCTTGGATCTGATTTGGACTGCAGTATTAATTGATTACCTCTGTGCTTTAATTTGAATAATTAATTCATTGGATTGATTGATTCATTGCTTGTTTGATTGGTGATTTTGACTTCCTTGACTAGTTATTCAGCTCATAGATAATTCAATGTAGTTAAAATTTATTGGAGTTTGAATCAAAAAATCAGCTAACAAAACGTCAGCAGTAACATTAGTACACACAAGACATAAACTATAATTTTATAAACAATCTGTATAATAAAATCAGACAATTAGAGATAGCTTTAGCTCATCTTAACCTCTGAATGTTACAAGGCTAGCTTTAGCTATTAACTCTTGGACATTACAAGGCTAGCATAATTACACTGTGCCAGTAGCTGTTACTTGGTCTTCATACATTTAATGGTAAGATAAAATGAAAACATCAGTAACATTAGCCACTAATATATGGAATAGAAGGCTAGCATGAAGATAAGTAATGCAGTGCCACTAACATGAATCAAATATTATAGGGCTAGCATTAGCTGCTTAAGTTCTAAAGTTTGGACATTATAAGGCTAGCATCAATTGCAACTTTTGAAAATTTCAAGGGTAGCATTAGCTGCTGGTCCTTGGACATTAGAAGGCTAGCATTTGCTATTGACTTTAGGACATTATAAGGCTAGCATTAAACATTATTAAGCAGTGCCAATAACATTATCTTCTAACTTTTGTCTTCATAAATTTAATGGTAAGATAAAAACGAAAACATGTAAGTAGCATTCAGAACTAACTTTGAAAACAAGGTTAGCATGAACCTAAGCAGTGTCACTAACATGAATCAGACATTATAAGACTAGCATTAGCTGCTAAAATTCCAAAACTGGACATTATAGGGCTAGCATTAGCTGCTACTTTTGGAAATTTCAAAGGTAGAATTAGCTAACTCGTGGACATTAGGCTAGCATAAACTGCTAACTTTTGAGATAAGATAAAGCTGTCTTTATAATTGTAATGTCCAAAAGTTAGCAGCCAATGTCTTTCTACTTTTGGAAATTTTAGCGGTAGCATTAACTGCTAGCCTTTGGACATTACGAGGCTAGCATTTGCTATCGTAATCTTTGGGCATTTCAAGGCTAGCTAATACACTTCTCCACTATTACCTTGTGATTCGTTTGTAATGTGTTAAGGACGATTTATGTCACAAGGAAAACAAACAAACAAAGCTGAAAATTGTAACTGCCATGAAGGTAAGATTTATTGCAGGACTAAAGATTGTTATAGTCTTTTAGTCAACAGTTGTGTCCACATATTTTTGGCCAGAAAGCCCATACACCGAAGCTGTTTGTGCGCATGTCCAGACCGGGTAGAAACAAAAATCGGCCAGAGCAAGATGGCATCGTCCATGAGTGGGATGTTTCCTGGTCAGCAGCCGCCTGGTGCGCATCCCGTCGGTGGTCCTGGTGGACCGGGCCAACCGGCCTTCCCCGGTACTGCTAACAGGGCTCAGGGAAATAATACGCTAGTGGATGAACTGGAGGCTTCCTTTGAGGTATGAGGCTAATATGCTAGCTTCCGTTAGCTGTGTGTGCGCTAACTTGTTAGCCAGCGTCAGGTGAAGTTTATTGTTTCATTAGTTGCCTGGTGTTACTGCAGCATATCAGTCCGCAAACTAAGAAACACACGTGTTCTTTCACAACGACTTAATCAAGTAAAACACACTCAGATAAGTGTAGCCTTTGCTAGCGCTAATGCTAAGTTACTGTCATACCCCCTGTAACCCTAGAGTAGTCAGTCTCGTTCCACCCTAAACCAGTTACTATTAGAAGAACACACACGGTTGCATTGGTAATTGTCAGCTGACATGATGGTCAAACTTAACCTTTCCTGGCAGTGTGTAATTCCTGAACGCAATATTAAGATATGCATAACAACAACACAGGTGTATCTCTGGTTTCATTCACTCAGTATGCTACAACTCTTTCCTTTCGCACAGTGGGAATTACATTTGGTTTTCTCCACTTACTTTCGTTCTGCGGCTGTTTTTCACGGTGTGGGCTAGGCCCCTAGTTCCAGGTATTATAATGTTTCAGCATGAAATTGCCCAAACGCTTGAAGTGAAGTCAATAAAGAAACATAGAGCAGAGTCGAATAGAGCTGCATCAATAGATAGTTTTGAGTAATTTCTGGTGGTGGTACCAACCTTCCGTTGTGATTGTTTCCTTGGTTATCTTAGTCTTATACAATTCTTTACTGAATGTTTTGGGGTTTTGGACTAAAATCCAGGTCAATACAAGATATGAAGATATCGTCTGGGATCTGATGGATATTTTTCACTTCAGACATTTTATTGACAAAATGATCAATTGACTATTCAAGTAAATAAACAACAGATTAATTGATAATGAAAATAATTGTTGTTAGTTGCAGCTTCAGAGTAGAAGAATTTTAATGGTTTGCACAGAGCCCTAACATAAGCAGATGGATAGAAACAAATATGTGACCACAGGTTGTCATTAATGTATGTAAATTGAAAAATGGCACAGCCATTTTTTTTGGCATCTGTGGTTTCCCTCTCAGAGTGTGTCTGTCTATGCTATGACTTAGGCTAGAAGGCTTGTATCATTTATGGAGAAACAGATTTCCATGTTTGAACAACATATGACACAGTGTGTCCTCAGAGACCCGTGACCTGCTGATTTTTGTCTGTATATTAATTCACCTTTATTAAGTTAACTACAGGACTAGAAACCATCTGTGCTCAAGCCCAAAAGAGCAGGATTGATATCCACTCACATAGAAAAAGGCACATTTACTAATGTTTCTCTCTGGGTTTATTCTGCAGGCATGTTTTGCATCCCTGGTAAGCCAAGACTATGTGAATGGAACAGACCAGGAGGAGATTCGAACTGGTGAGTGAAGTCCTGAATTTTTTTTGTTGTTTTGCATTAGTTTATGTCATATTGTTGTCTTGATATTGATTTACAGTATACGGAATACACCCCTTGTGATTATAATTTAATTATGAATCTTGTCCATTTAACACAATTTTTTTAGACACATAATTTGAAAAACTGAAATGCTTGACTAATTTAACTATATAGAAAAATCCATATTAAACAAACAATTCAACAAAACTGGTTTCCCCTGTTTTTCAGTTCTAGATTGCATAAAAATGTGTTGAATAAATACACCTACCTCCTGACTACTGTTGCAGATGTTTTTCAGGTTATACTCAGAAGGCTACTCATGCTCTTGTACCCTCCCCCATCTTTTATGAAGTCTCACAATCTGGTTTCTTGCATGTTGAGGCATTTCCTTGCCATGTTGCATTAGACACAACCCCAAAAAAAAGCTTTAGTGTTCACAGGTTATGTATTAACCTTGTTCATGCACTTAGCTTAAATAGAAATCACAGGTATAATCAAATTTGTTGCAGTAATCACAGGTGCATTCATGCTTGTTACACTGAGGTTCTACTTTGGGGCCTGTATTTTCAAAGCAGTCCATCTTACCTGTTTGTTTTGAATTATAAGCAAGATCAAGTTCCCTACACTTCAACATACAAATAATAGGAATATTGCACAGGGAAGGACCCAGTTTTGCTGTATATTTTACTGTATATGTGTCTGTTGATTGCAGGTGTTGACCAGTGCATACAGAAATTTCTGGACGTGGCTCGACAGACAGAGTGCTTCTTCCTACAGAAGAGGCTTCAGCTATCTGTGCAGAAACCAGAGCAGGTGGTGAAAGAGGTAAATTATTAGACTGACTTGCCGTTTCATCCTAAATTGGTCCTCCCCACCTCCCAATTTTTACCCACTTTTTTATTTGTGTCCTTGTAGGTTTTGGCTTGGGTAAAACCTACTTGAGAACTATTTTTCTAAGCACAAAACAAAATTGTCCTTAATTCCTTACTAAGAACCACTGCCTGTGTCAGAGTTTACTGGCCTTAATTTCATAGGCCTGATGTGTTATCAGTGTTTATGAATTACTTGTTTCTCTCCATTTGTGAATGTGTCTTTCTCACATACATTTCTTTTCTCATTCCAGGATGTGTCAGAGTTACGTAATGAGCTACAGAGGAAAGAATTGCTGGTTCAGAAACATTTGTCCAAATTGCACCACTGGCAACAAGTGCTGGAGGATGTGAGCGTTCAACATCGCAAACCCACAGACCTTCCTCCTCCTGGACCACTGGCCTTCCTGGAGCAGGCCTCTGCTAGTCTGCCCCCTGCCCCTTTAAAACCGAACTAACACACAAACACTGAAGGAAAGTATACACCATGTACATCATTTGATGCCCACTATCAACCTGTGAGGAAACTGGTCAAAAGTTTGTTGTCAAGGAAAATCATTGACACAGACTGTTTTGTTTCAACTATTTTCAGTATTTTGATAAATGTAAATATTTCTATTGCTGACTTTTTTTACTGTAAAAATAAAAATGGAGTATTTGGAATCTGCACTGAAGGCTTAATTATGTTTTTCTTGTTTATACAGTACATACATTTTGACATTTTTGTCAAAACAGGATCAAGCACTGGCTGTACAATTTAAAGGGGCATTCCATAAATTTCACACATGACGAGCTGTTTACCAGACGGTGAAAACAGTTGTATAATGTCTTCTGTGGCTCTGAAATACCTTTAAGTTTGGAAAAAGTAAACCCTGATGATATCATCAGACACAGACATTTAGCAAGAAACAGATGCTAGTGAGGTACATTCAGGCCTGAGTTTTTTTTAGAACCTGACCCATACTTTGTACTAAAAGTCAATATCTGCTTCAATTTTGACCATTTTTTCTTTAATCCAGTCTCTACCAAGTCCTCCAAATGTATGGAAGTGCAATACTAAATCACCGGAATACTCCTTTTCACCAGCTCGTCTCTCACATAAGAGAGTATCAGAAATAGCATCACTTACAAAATTATCAGTGATCAGTGATGCATAATTTTAAATATCCACTTACTTTTACATTAAACAAAGTAAAAGATTCTTTGCCTACAGCTTTAATCCCAATTTCATTCACTATCATGACAAAAAAGTGACTTCAGAGAAGCCACGACTGAGCCTCCTGACAGCCTGTTGCCTCTAATGCATTCAGTGTCTTGACACCATAACAGATTTGTTCTCCCAAGTTTCACAGCTATTGCCCGTTCAATGACAGTACAGCCAGACACAAATGTTTATAGATGGGCCCTGGGGCTAAAGCTTTCTGCAAAACAAGGGTCTTGACATTAAAAACCTGGGAAATGTGGGTTTATGATTTCACTAGCAGACAATAGCTCAAATTGGTGCCCCTTTTCTCTATTTCATACACTCTGTTTGAGATAATATCTACTGAATTACTTTTAGTTGTGTAAACTATTTAGGCATCCTCTATAGGAAAATGAAAAAAGATGAGAAGGTATACATTATAAACATAAATACTTGTGTTAAGTCAAATTTATGAGACAGAAAATGATAATTTTTACTTACAAGTCATAATTAAGAGGGGATATCAAAAATTTTGAATTAATCACAAATGTCAGATATTAAGTCAAAATGATGAGATACTAACAATTATGAAATATGAAAATTGATGAGATATGTCAAAGTTTTAAGTGAGATTCGAGTTAATCAGTCAAAATAATGAGAGAGTAAGTCTGAATTTTAAGTCACTGAAACAAAATAATGAGATATGGAGTCAAAGTTGTGAGATAGTAAAAAGTCTAAAACTGTGTGCTATGAAATCAAAATGGTGGGATACCAAATTAGAATTCTTGGATAAGTCAAATATAAAATTAGGAGTTCATTGAAACGATAAAATATTATATCAGAATTATGAAGTATTATGTCAAATTATACCAATTTAAAAGAAATTGGTCAGAGATAGTTTTTGACTTACTACTTGAAATTTATGAAAGTAAAAAAAATAAAAAATCTGTGACTAAGTCAAAATTTTGATGTCAAGATTACGAGATAGTAAATCAACATTTTCAGATAGCACCTATTATCTTATATATTTTTATTATCATGTCTAACTGGATCCTGACTGTCAGCTCAGCCAGTCTTCCACAGCTAGAGGGAGACAGTGCTTTCTTGTGGGACGCCTTGGCTGCTTTGAGGACCGTCTTTGCCGACATGTCCTTGTTTGTGCGTTTTAATCAGCGATTGGAAAATAACAGGTAGCCTTGTCCGTCCGCCTCTCGCACCCATAGACACCCAGGAGGAAATAGGTGGTGTGTGGGGGCGATTAAATCAAAAATAAACCCCATTTGACACGGCGGTTGGCTCCTTTTCCCGTGCTGTTTTTTTGTGTTAGTGTGGCCGACAGAAGAAGCAGTCCGCTGGGTACAACAGCCGGGTTGAATCGCAACGTGTTTGTACAGAGAGTCACCGCAGTCGGGCTGTGTTTTTATATGAACCAGGCTGCTGTGATCGGGCTGCCGTCAGCCCGTCTCGCCGCCTCTGGACAGATGGTCGCCGCGATTCACGCTTGAATTTAGAGCCATTAAAGACGACATTGTGGATATGGAATGGTGCATGCCGCTGGGCCAAGTGTTCCGCCTCTGAAAAACACCGGAATCATGGACAGTCATCCGCTGTAAGTGCTAAAAGCCGTGTGTGCGTATGTGTGTGTGTGTGTGTGTGTGTGTGTATGTGTGTGTGTGCGTGTGTGTGTTGACGTTTCCCAGTGGCTGCTTGACTGATGGTGCCGCATTGACAGAGACAGCGGCCAGCCGGTGTGGCTGCTCACTGACCGGTGGGATGGGGACCGGGGACTGACACCGAGCCTTGTCGGTGCATGCTGAAGCAGGCTGGAGGATTTCTGCCTCTGTTTGTTGGGGGATAACGGAGGTGTTTTGTTGGCAGTACAGAGGGCGTGTGTTAACTGCTATAAAGCCATGTGTGTGTGGGTGTGTTTGTGACAGAAAACAAGGGACACGTGATTTTGCCATGAGCAACATCATTATATGTAAGTCTTGGATGCTTTTATTGTGAAAGAAAGGCCATTGGTGTGCGCTGAACAGTGATGGAAAGTAACTAAGTACATTTATATTTTTGAGGTACTTTGCTTGAGTGTTTCCATTTTCTACTATTTTCTACTTCCATCCCATTACACAGAAGCAGATATTCTACTTTTTACTCCACTGCATTTATTGCATTTATTTGACACCTATAGCAAGAGGTTTCAGATCACGATTTCACATACAAAACATATTTAATATTATACAACACAAGACATCAATAACTGCTACACAGACACCATTTTTGCATGAAAATAACATACACAAAATAAGAAGATTATTGTTCTTCAACCCTTCTGACTTCAGTTGTAACCATGGTCTCATTTGAAAAGTAATGCTTTAAATTTTACAACCATAAAGTAGGAATGAGTAGAAGATATTCTGAACCAAAGTTACAGAGGCACAAACATGAAATGTAAGTTTTTTTTCTGCCTCTATGGAAACATAGCCACAAGAGTCTGAACCAATTCTGTGTCGACAGCTGTTGCAGTGATATGAGGATCCATGAAATGCTTTTCTCAGATAAAATCAGGAGACTTACAGCTTTCAAACAATGTATAATTCATCAAGGCTGTGTGAAGAATGAGTCCAGTACAGACCAAAACACAACTAAAGCATTGCTACCACGGCCATAGTGTCCCTCAGGCGGGACGGTGTATTTTAAAAAGGTTAAAGGTTAGACCAGGGGTTCCCAAACCTTTTGTCTCGTGACACTGAAATGATCCAATGAAGAGCTGCAACAGTAGCTCGATGAATCAATTAGTCGATCGTCATAAAAATGATCGGCAACTACTTTGATAAACAAATTGTTGTTGTTAAAAAAACAAAAATGCACCAAATTTGCTGTTTTTGATCCTCTCAGATCTGAAGATTTTCTACTTCTCTTTGTTTTACGTCACTGTAAACTCTGTGCTGTTGGTCAAACAAAACGCGACATTCGAAGATGTAAACTTGAACTCTGAAAACTGGGAGGGACAGTTTTCATGTTTTTCAGACATTTTATAAACTAAATGTTTAATTAATGATTAATCGATAATGATGATAATCCATAGCTGTTGCCCAAATCCAATGTTTCACAAATCATGAATCTTCATCTTGTGATTTATCTGTGAATCTTACGAGGGCCCTGGTGCCTTGGGTGGGAACCACTGGACTTAACTATACAACAATATGTGACGTAGTTAAAATCGGCTCCACCTCAATCAGCTACATCAGTATTAACAACCTAATGCTTTATTTTTGATACTTAAACTATGTTTTGCTGATAATACTTGTCCTTTTACTCATGTTGGTTCTTCAATGACGGACTTTTACTCGTAATGGATTATTTTAACATTGTTGTATAACTTAAGTAAAGGAGCTGGATACTTCTTCGACCAACAGTGTTCAATGTTTGTTAAATTTGTTTGTGTAATTGTGGTTTAAAGCACTGACTGTGCAGCATCGACAAATTCAAATTTATTGTATTGTATATTGCATAGTAAGCTTCGTAAAGGCAGAATTTATGGCAGAGCTGGTGTATGGAATTGCATTAGATTGTGCAGGTGTTCCTTACACATGGCTGGATGAACCTGTTAGAGGATCCGAGGGGCCAAAAGGATTGTTGTTAGGCTCTTACTGACCACCCACTTCCTGGCCTCTGTGCAGTGTATATCTACCCTTTCGCTTCCAAGTTACCATTAAGTACAGAACACCTGGGAGACTGTATATGACAGCTTTATTATATGCCCAGAGACGCCAGCCTTTATGAGTTTCAATTACTCATTAGAGGTCATTTGATTAAGCATCACTTTATCAGGGAAATGTACCACGTGAGCCCAATAAAAACTAATAATTAACACCTTAAAATGAGATTGAGACACAGGGACCCCCTACAAGACAGGTCCAAAACATTAGTAATAATGAAGGTCTGGCCATAGTTGACTTTTTGTTTTAGATCCCTAACAAATTATCAGTTCATCAATTTACCAAAATTTACCAAAAGGTTTTTGCAACAGTTCCTTCTTGCTAACAGATCAACCAGCCCTCACCGGTGAAACAGATGTAGCCAGGGTTAAAATGATTACAGACCATCTTTAGAAAAATGAAGTAACAACAATAATACACTCCAAGATGTCCTTATACTGATTTTCATGTATCGGGAAACCTTGTTGTGTATTGTTGCTTACTTGCATTCCTCCTGTATGTAAAACAACAACACCAACAGTCCTTTATCTGCCTTCGGTAATGAGAAACACAATGATCTCTGTCTGCACTATTACTTAGTTATTCTCTATTAATGTGTGCATGTTTATGTGTTTATATATCCCTCTCAGGTGCACTAGACTTTGTCCACACAGTCTGGACAAAGAGGATGGAGTCGAGAGGCAAGGTCCTGTCACTTTCAACCATCGGCACATGAGGAAGGCGTTCAGAGTCATGAACGAGCTGCGCAGGTG